GGGGGGGGGGGGGGTAGTTCGGTTTGTGCTGCATGTTAACCCGGAAACCGCAGCCCCTCCTTTTTCATTGCAAACCCATTTTAAATGGCCAACCCAATGGGTCCTTGGTATGGGAAATGAGGGCGCTGCTGTTTGAAACCATTCCCACATATTATGAAGGTTAAAAAAGCCAAAAGACTGTGGCTTACCATGGCTGCCTGCAAGCCGAATTCTGTTGCCTGGCACTGCGTGAGTGATCTCACACACCAAACCGGCAGGCCCTCAATATAAGAGGAAAAATGCGACCTTGTAACGAAAGCACATGTGCTGTGTAATGTGAACAGCAAAATTTAACGTGAAAGAGTGTACCCATTGTTCTCTAAAATGTGTCTTTTTTAACCACCTCTCCCTTCTCCTCCACCAGCTGCAAATGTTTCTCTTTCGCAGAGGCTAGCAAAGTTTAGAAGGAGAAAACGGCGGACTCGGGATGATATGTTCATGGAGCTCCAGATGTCCTCCCATGCTGAAAGAGCACAGCAGAATGCATGGAGGCAGTCAATGTCAGAGTGCAAAAAAAAGCACAATATGAACGAGAGGAGAGGTGGTGGGCTGAATCGCGGGATGAACAGAGCAAGTGGCGGGCTGAAGATGATAGGTGGTGTCAGCTTGCAGACAGAAGGCAAGAGTCGATGCTCCGGCTGCTGGAGCATCAAACTGATATGCTCCAGCGTATGGTTGAACTGCAGGAAAGGCAGCAGGAGCAGAGACCGCCGCTACAGCCCCTGTGTAACCAACAGCCCTCCTCCCCAAGTCCCATTGCCTCCTCACCCAGATGCCCAAGAACACGGTGGGGGGGCCTCCGGCCACCCAGTCACTCCACCCCAGATGATTGCCCAAGCATCAGAAGGCTGGCCTTCAATAAGTTTTAAAGTTTTAAACTGCAGTGTGTCCTTTTCCTTCCTTCCTCCCACACCCATCCCGGGCTACCTTGGCAATTATCCCCCTAGTTGTGTGATGAATTAATAAAGAATGCATGAATGAGAAGTAACAATGACTTCATTGCCTCTGCAAGCGGTGCTCGAAGGGGGGAGGGGAGGGTGGGGTGGTTGGTTTACAGGGAAGTAGAGTGAACCGGGGGGTGGGGGGGCGCGGAGGGTTCATCAAGGAGAAACAAACAGAAGTTTCACACCGTAGCCTGGCCAGTCACAAAACTCGTTTTCAAAGCTTCTCTGATGTGCACCACGCCCTGCTGTGCTCTTCTAACCACCCTGGTGTCTGGCTGCGCGTAATCAGCGGCCAGGCGATTTGCCTCAACCTCCCACCCCGCCATAAATGTTTCCCCCTTACTCTCACAGATATTGTGGAGCGCACAGCAAGCAGCAATAACAATGGGGATATTGGTTTCGCTGAGGTCTATCTGAGTCAGTAAGCTGCGCCAGCGCGCTTTTAAACGTCCAAATGCACATTCCACCACCATTCGGCACTTGCTCAGCCTATAGTTGAACAGGTCCTGACTACTGTCCAGGCTGCCTGTGTACGGCTTCATGAGCCATGGCATTAAGGGGTAGGTTGGGTCCCCAAGGATAACAATAGGCATTTCAACATCCCCAACGGTTATTTTCTGGTCCGGGAAGAAAGTCCCTTCCTCCAGCTTTTGAAACAGACCAGAGTGCCTGAAGACGCGAGCATCATGTACCTTTCCCGGCCATCCCACGTTGATGTTGGTGAAACGTCCCTTGTGATCCACCAGGGCTTGCAGCAGCATTGAAAAGTACCCCTTGCGGTTTATGTACTTGGTGGCTTGGTGCTCTGGTGACAAGATAGGGATATGGGTTCCGTTTATCGCCCCACCACAGTTTGGGAATCCCATTGCGGCAAAGCCATCCACTATGACCTGCACGTTTCCCAGAGTCACTACCCTTGATATCACCAGGTCTTTGATTGCCCTGGCAACTTGGATCACAGCAGCCTCCACAGTAGATTTGCCCACTCCAAATTGATTCCCGACTGACCGGTAGCTGTCTGGCGTTGCAAGCTTCCACAGGGCTATCGCCACTCGCTTCTCAACTGTGAGGGCTGCTCTCATCCTGGTATTCTGGCGCTTCAGGGCAGGGGAAAGCAAGTCACAAAGTTCCATGAAAGTGCCCTTACGCATGCGAAAGTTCCGCAGCTACTGGGAATCGTCCCACACCTGCAGCATGATGCGGTCCCACCAGTCTGTGCTTGTTTCCCGGGCCCAGAATCGGCGTTCCACGCCATGAACCTGCCCCAGTAACACCATGATTTGCACATTGCTGGGGCCTGTACTTTCTGAGAGGTCTACGTCCATGTCAATTTCCTCATCACTCTCGTCGCCATGCTGCAATCGCCTCCTCAGCTGGTCCTGGTTTTGTTTTGGCATGTCTGGCTCTGCATATACTCCAGGACAATGCGTGTGGTGTTCATAGTGCTCATAATTGCCGCGGTGATCTGAGCGGGCTCCATGATCCCAGTGCTATGGCGTCTGGTCTGAAAAAAGGCGCGAAACTAGTGTCTGACAGAGCGAGGGAGGGGCGACTGATGACATGGCGTTCAGGTACAGGGAATTAAAATCAACAAAGGTGGCTGTGCATCAGGGAGAAACACAAACAGCTGTCACACAGAATGCCCCCCCCCCAAAGATTGAACTCAAAACCCTGGGTTTAGCAGGCCGTTGATTTCACGGAGGGAGGGGGAAGCAAATGAATACAGAACGAATCTGGTCCATCTATTTTTTACATCTTAAGCTGGCAGACGACGGTGCAGCATGACTGATAGCCATCGGCATCTTCTGGGTGCTTGGCAGAAAATGATGTACTACAACTGATAGCCATCATTGTCAAGAATCAGATGCCCAGAGTGGAAAGTTTGGTTCAGTATTTCTTAGAGGAATCTGCTGAAGAACTTTCCCGGGTGCCTCTGATTGAACTCACTGAGGAGTACGACGACTACGGATACCAGTCGTAATACACCATCCACTGCCAAAAGGCAAGGAGCTGCTGCTGTTTAGCAATGCAGCTCCACGTCTGCCAGCACTCAGATAGCCGATGACGGCTACCAGTCATACTGCACCGTCTACTGCCAAAAGGCAATTAGCTGCTGCTGTGTAGCAATGCAGTACCACATCTGCCGGCACCCAGATGACATATGGTGACGGTGAGCTGAGCTGAGCTGAGCGGCTCCATGCTTGCTGTGGTATGTTGTCTGCACAGGTAACCCAGGTAAAAAGGCGCGAATCGACTGTCTGCCGTTGCTCTGAGGGAGGGGGAGGGGCCTGACAACATGTACCCAGAACCCCCCGCAGCACTGTTTTTGCATCATCGGGCATTGGGATCTCAACCCAGAATTCCAATGGGCGGCGGAGACTGTGGGAAAGCTACCCACAGTGCAACGCTCCGGAAGTCGACGCTAGCCTCAGTACTGTGGACGCAGTCCGCCGACTTAATGCACTTAGAGCATTTTATGTGGGGACACACACAATCGACTGTATAAAACCGATATCTATAAAACCGGCTTCTATAAATTTGACCTAATTTCGTAGTGTAGACATACCCCAAGACACCTGTTTCACACCTCCATTAGGTAGAAGGCTAGGACTTTGTTGGATGCCACTAATCCACACCTTTATCACCCTGACCTGAGGGTATCACCATGCACTCGGCATGGGATTGCACCTTAAACCGACTAGCAAATCCAATTGTGTGCAGACTGCAGCACCCCACTTGCTATACAGGGTATCAAGGCAGGACACCAGAGCTCCTGGATCTACACTGGTTTCTGGAAACCATGTAAAGGTGCTGGCTCTGACCCATTAAGCTCTAAGTGGTCTGGCCCCTCCCATTTAAGAGAACCTCTCACTCCTTGTGCTGTACTGCTGGAGTTTAGCTCCAGTTCATCTGCTGATTCATCTGCTTGGTGTTAGAGAGAAGGATCTATTGGCAGGGTCTTCTTCTAGAGGGGCCCTCAGCTGCATAGCCTCCTCCCCCACACCTAAATAGTCAAAGTAGCCTGAAACTGCCGAACTTCAGGGCATGATGCAAATCTCATCTATTTTCACAGCCTGAAGAGCAGCCCTAATCACCCTTCTTCTATGGGGCAGCGGAACTGCTTTCTTTCCCTTAGTTGTGGTTGATTAATAGCAGGGATGTTTTTCTAAAAAGTTATTCTATAGTTTTAAACAGCTATTCTGCTGTGGGAGTCCAGTGGCCTGCGTTACACAGAAGGCCAGACTAGGTGATCACAGGTGTCCCCTCTGGAATTGGAATCTATGCAAGAGCGGTAATGGGGCAAGGCTGTTCATTTGTGTACATATTGTTTGAAGAAGTGTATTTTATTTTATGTCTGAGGTGTCAAGAGTGCAGTACTGGGGCTTTGCATATAAACCCAAACAGGCACAAAGTGATGCAGGTAATCTCCATTGCAGTAACAGCCCCTCGGTGATCCTGGCTCCCACAAAGCTTCCCCGAAGCACTGCCCTGCCAGGACCACTTAGCAGCCCGCATGACTGCCTTACCATCCCCATGATGCAAGTCCAAGTCAATATAGAGGATGCGGTCGAATTTCCGACGCAGCCGCAGGATGCCCAGGACGGCGTCGTTTAGGTAGCAAAAGCCAGAAGCTTCATCTCTGCAAGGAAACATTCAGGAAGTTCAACATTCCCAAGCGGAGACAAGACAGCTGCTCGCCCCAACCTTTGCCCCTTGAACCCTCCACAAACCCCATCCAGCAGCACAGCCTCCATCTTGTGTGGACTAAAAGGAGGAACACTAAGGCACGGGTGTCAACTAGTCCCACTGGTCAGGAGCAGCAATGTGAGAGCCAGCCACAAGACACAAAGAGTATCTGATCAGTTACATGGGACTTTGGAAACCTGGGCTCGATGTCCAGCTTGAAATGTTAAATATGAGCTTGCTGGTCTTATCCCACACCAAAACAGCCATCATGGCCTCTGGTGGCTTGAGAGACTGTGCTCGACTGGCCCAGGGATGAACAGCAGAGGGAAGTACAGAGCAGCTAAACACACACATTTAGCTGCCATTAGCCTCCTGCAAATCTAAAACACTATGTGAATTTGGTGCTACTGAAAGGTGGCAGATTGAGAGTTCAGCACCTAAAATTCCTCTGTCTGCAGCACAGTACTGAGACACTGCAGCACAATCTTCCCCGTGCCAATGCACCTCAGCCCTGCCTTGGAGGGACACATCCCGCCTTCCCCCCACTATGGACTACAAGCCCAAGCTAATCTTTGTAGTCAGTCTCAGCTGATGGGCTAAAAGTGAGCAGTCTGGTGCTCTGGACTCCTGCTGCTAGGAACTCCCCCAAGAACCCTGACACTAACAAATAAAGCCAAAGTACTCAGCATTGGCCTGACTTCAAGGACAGCAATCAGGCCACTGCTGTCCTGGGCTGGATCCCACTCCCATCCCCGTCAGCCACCCAGTCTCCATTTAGTTTTAATGGTTGAAATCTACCTCACAGCTTGCACACGCGAGAAGTGTATATCTCCAATGAAGTGTTAGAATGCCGTTCAGAGGAAGAGGAGTGCAGTTTTAAACATCCCACCCCCTCCAGAAAATTCACCAGCGAGGGAGTCATTGGGGTGGGAATTAAGCTGCTGGTAGGAATGGTTTCCTTCCTCCCCCCATGGAAAGGAGGGCCCATGAAATTAATGTGAAACATGTTATCCTTGCTCATGTGTAGCTGTCACATAGTCAAATAAATGGAGGAAATGCAAGCTGCTATATGGAAACAGCTGTCCCCAGCTAGTGCATGGGACTTCTACATTCCCAGCACCACCTTTGCAGAAAAGTCCCATTTTTCCTATCCCAGGAATTCTTCATATGTACAAGGCTGATTTAAGAAAGCAGCAAGAAAAGAAATAAGGGGAAATCACTACTCTGTAAGGATCCAGGCTGAATGCTGGCTCAGATCTGCTGTGGAAAGCATGTTAATGATCTAATACAGAAGTCACCTAAGCGCAACCTCTAGAGTTTTTTTTGAGAAGCAGCAGAGCACCACACAGCAGGAGGCAGGAGACCTGAGTTCTATTTCCAATTCTGCCACTAACAGGCTGTGTGACCGCAGGGAAGTCACTTAACTGCCTTGTGCCTCTCTCCCAAGTAAAGTGGAGGTAACAACAGTTATCCATCTATAAAGCCCATTAAAGGGAAAGAAAGATATTAGGTTATTGATATCCTAAGACGAAGCTGCAAGCTTCATGGGCTACAAGCCTTAATATCTTGATCCTGATATTCATGCCACTGCACTAAAGGGAAGGGCAGCTGCAATCTTCTCCATTTTATGGAAGTTAAAGGCAGCCCTCCAACTACTGGAACACTGTCCATGTGACAGTTGGGTGGCCAAAGTTTGGGCACCCATATCCCAGGAGGTTTAGGAGCGTGCTGAATTCTAGCAGAACAAGGAATGCTGGTGCCTTTCTTACAGGATGCAATCCAATAAAAAGCAAAGCTGTGAAGAAAATCCTTCTGCACTTTCAAAGCCCAGTCACAAAAGCTGACCTGCAGTCCTGCCCACCTTTGTCAGCCACTCGATAAATCAAGATAACTTCTTCTCAGCCAGGGCCTTGCTCTCTTTGGCAGCAATTGCCAGCTCCTTGTCATGCTTGGAGCTAGTGTCTGCGAGCAGAGCACCAGCAATGCAACAGTAAATGCCCGGAGCGTAGCCACAAGAAGTCTTCCAGGCTGGTAGAAGTTATTGGCCACCACTCAGTTACTCCTGCAGGTGCAGAATTCATGTCCCCCACAGATTTCTTTGCTTCCCTGCAGAAAAATGACTTTCAGATGGGGAAAGCAAAGGGAAGCTGCAAGAACAGTCACGTGCCGCTCCCCAGCGGTGCGGGTGCATCGTTTCAGATGCCAGAAGCAACTAGCAGAGGTGTAAATCACTGGGGGAAAAGGGCTGGGGATGCCCCGGCCAGTGGCTTCTATCCAGCTGCTAGTCCCGGCTGGCCTGGAGAGGACGGGACTTCCTCTTCCCCTGCAAGGAGCAGCCAGGGCTAGGTCAGATCCAGCCCCAGAAACCTCTCCAGCTGCAGGAAGCTCCATACCCCTCCGCTTCCTGCCTCCATCACTCCTGAGCTATAGGGGGAGGGGTCACTGTACGGGGAGCTGCTCTCCCATCCACTCAACCCATGTGCATTTGGACCCACCTCATACCCAAATCGCCCCACCAAACCTCACCCCCTGCACCCACCTCCCTGCATCCAGACCCCACCTCTGCACCCAGACTGCCACCTGCAACTGAACTCCCACCCCAGAAGCCTCACCCCACCTGCACCTGGACCACTCCAACAAGCTCCCTGGACCCCCACCCCCACCCCACTGAGCCACACCAAGTCAGCACCCAGACCCGCACTCCATGAAGCCAGCACTCGGACAGGGTGATCTCCCATTGCCATGCTGGAGCCTCCACATTTATTTATTGACAAATAAAAATTGCAAAATTTTGCAGAATTTTAAAATATTGTGTGCAGAATTTTAAAATTTTTGGCGCAGAATGCCCTGAGGAGTAACTCAGTGCAGGCTGGCCCATACAGTGTTTTCTAGCCCACTTTTAAGGGTATGTCTACACCAGGGGTCTCAAACACGCGGTCCGTGAGGTTATTTTCTGCGGCCTGCGAGCTCCTTGTGGCCCCCCCTCCCCCAGCATTTACCTAGAGCGGCTCCGGCCCGACGCGCAGGGCAGGCTCCCTGCCTGCCTGCCCTGCCCCCACACCGCTCCAGGAAGCAGCTGGAACCTGGGGGAGGAGGGGCACAGGGGTGTGTGTGTTACTGTTGCTTCAGGCACCGCTCCCAGCAGCTCCCATTGGCCGGGAACGGGGAACCACAGCCAATGGAAGCTGCTGGGGGCAGTGCCTGAAGCAACAGCAACACACACACCCCTGTGCCCCTCCTCCCCCAGGTTCCGGCCACTTCCCGGAGCTGCGTGGGCGTGGGGGCCGGAGCTGCCCCCGGTATGCGCCAGGCCAGAGCCCTGCCCCCCGAACTCCTCCTGCAGCAGAACCCCCCTGTCCTGAGCCCCCTGCCGCACCCCGCATCCCTCCTGCAACCCGACCCCCTGCCATACCCTGTACCCCGACCCCCTGCCCTGAGCCCCCTGCCGCACCCTGCACCCCGATCCTCTGCCCTGAACCCCCTGCCGCATTCCGCATCCCTCCTGCATCCCAACCCACTGCACTGAGCCCCCTGCCGCACCCCTCCTGCATCCCGATCCCCTGCCCTGACCGCCTGCCACACCCCTCACCCCCCTGCACCCCACACCCCAACTCCCTGCCCTGATCCCCTGCCACACCCCACACCCCTCCTGCAGCCCCTGGGGGCAGGGAGGGGGCAGAGTTGGGGTGAGGATTTCGGGGAAAGGGTTGGAATGGGGGCAGGGAAGGGGTGGGAAGAGGCGGGGCCTCATGGAAGGGGTGGAGTGGGGGTGGGGCCAAGGGCAGCGGAGGGGGGGGAGGTGTCAGTAATGCGGCCCTCAGGCTAATGTACTAGTCCTCATGTGGCCCTTGTGGTCATTTGAGTTTTAGACCCCTTGTCTACACTGCCGCTGGGAATGAGCTTCCCAGCCCAGGTCCACAATCTTGCGCTAGCATGCTAAAAATAGCTGTGTAGATGCTACAGCTTGGGCTGGAGCTCAAGCTCTGGGGCTGGGATGGGGAGCTTGAGAGCCTGAGCCACAACAGCTACATAGCCAGCGCTAGTCTGTGTACCAGGGCTGGCAGACTCGCTCCCAGCGGCAGTCTAGACATGTCCACTATGGTTCAAGTTACAGGGCCTCCCCTGTTCCTTTACCAGACTTGTCCATGTTCTCAGACCTCACTGCTGGAAATGTTGCTGGATATTCAGCCTGTGGTTCTCTCTGCTCAGTATCCCCACCATCACCACTCTCCGCCTCTGCGGCACAAGATTGTGAGGTAGATGGGAACAAGCTCTGGAGAGTAGTCTTGTAGTTTCTAACACTCACTGCTGCAAATGGGCACTGGTGCTGTCCAGAGAACCTCTAGCTCCATTAACAGAGCAACTCTGGGGATTGCTTCTCTAAAAGCATCCAGGGAGCATTTTTTAGTTTTACTAACATACAGGCTATTTTTCTCATTTTAAATGTTTGATATTTAAGACTATGGCTTCTGCTTAACTTCACATGGGGTCCGCAGTAATAAAACTGCTGAACCAGTACATTAAGAGAGGCCCTGCTAGACTGTCCTCCCTCTCCCCCCCCCCCCAAACTGGGGACAGTCTAGCAGGGGCTCTCTTAATGTACTGGGGACAGAGTATTTTAGCATACTAACCTTATACCACAAGTGACATGGCTTCCTGGACTAGTCTCTTATAGACCACGGCCCACATTACAGAGCTAACAATTCACAGTATGACTGACAGTCGTCTCTGGGACTGGACTAGCAGAGGACGCTGAATTTGGGCACTTAGCTAATGGGTAAAACTAAGTAGCAGTTCAGGACTGGTGTAGCAGGGGTCACTGCAGTGCAGGATTAGTCCGCACTGGAAAGGCCACAAAGACAGGCTTGGGGAGGTGAATTGGCAGGGCTGTGCAGGGAACCTGCAGCGTCCACCTGCCCTGTCTCTTGGCCATCTTTATTAGAATCATATGTA